GGGGCGGGGGGAGGGGAAGGGGGGGACGAGACCTGAAAACTGCCTCGCCTGGGCTGGCGGAGAGAACCCAGGCAGGCGCCCGGGGTCTCGCTCCCGGCCAGCCCAGCGAAGTGTACAGGGAAGGGGTGTGTGCAAAGGCTGCCGTGACAGACAAGCCGGAGCCCGGAGCCGAGGGGACGCAGCCGTGAAAGTGCAAAACAGCTACCTCGCTTCAAGGCAAGACAAGCGCGGGGTGCAGTGCTGGGCAACTATTGCAGCCGGTCGCACTGTGGTCCCGCTGCTGCCGAGACAGGAGGGTAGACGTAAAGGCTCGGCGAGGCGGCGGGATGGTCAAGGTGAGGAAGTGGAGGGAAGGAAGCCCTGATAAGGACAGTCCACTGATTTTTAGAAACCAAGCATGACGCATCAGCGATGGAAAGGATGCATAAAACAGGACAAAAAGACAAGGAATGGAAGGAAATCCATCAAACCACGTGAGGGTCTCCTCTGTGTCATGTAGACTGTGTAACCTGCCCCTCCACCCTGCACCTCCCCGTTCCCCCCCAAAAACACAACAAAATCATTTTAAAATTAAAAGGGTTCTTACCGAGGTGTCTTCTCTCCCTTATCTTCGGGCTGAAACTGCATTTTCCTTACTTTATCCTTCGCAATGTTCCTTCCGTTCATTTCATGGTGCTCTCACTCATGCTCTGAAAGCCACCTCTCCTGCACTTTCCCAGCTAGTAACTCCAGCTACCAGTGGGAATAGAGAGCAAAGTATGCAAAGAAGAAAATCGAGTACTCCTTTAATGATCATAACAATAATCATAATTAAAAGTGTCTCGGTTTTTAAAGCAGGGCTACATAATGTATTAATTGCTTACTATTAACGGGCAGTTTTATTGAGCATAGCACACAGAAGTCTGATTGTGAGTGAGGAGTGTTTTCAATGAAAGTGGAGTTATTTTAGCTGCAGACATGTTTACATTTCTGTGGTTTAGTCTATAACTTTCTCTTTTTCTTGCTTCAGAATTCTGCTCTATGAAGCAAAGCCCTTAGCTCCCAGACATTCCAAAAAGTCTGCCAAAATAATGGGGGGGGAACCCACACAGAGAGACCCCCAAGTCTGGGTCAGGCTCAGGGCTGGATATGGGTAGAGCCAGTGTGCCCCCTCCCCACTCTCTCTCCAGTTAAAAAGCCTTCAGGGCTCCATTTCCTGTTTTTAAGGAAAAAATAAAGTGGGTCTAGTACTGATTTTAGATACTGCCTAGACCAGGTCTTATAGGGTCCAAGGACCTTTAACTCTGTAGATGCCAAATGGTACTTGGCAATGCATGCATCCAGACGTCTCACAAATGTCGTTCCCCACCAAGACTAATCATGTGAGGGGAAATTGGTTTTAGCACACCACACATTTTTGAATTACTGACAGAACAGTAAGCTTAGACTATTTAAGTCTCAAAGGACAGTTCTCAGTGTGTCCATATCACATTAATAGAAAGTAAAAAATATAAGTAAAAGTTAAACAAAAAGTGAAATAGGACAGGACACATCTATCCCACCCCTGTTCCACTGCAATCAATTCATGGAGATCAGATAATGCATCTTTGTGGGTAGCTTGAATGCAAAATAAAGTATTAGACTAGACCTATCTGTCAGTTATTTAATTGTCCCTTTCTTTCTATTGAACACTTATTAGTGTTACAGACAGGTAAGTGTCCATTGAATGGCTTTAATGACTTGTAACAAGAACATGTGGGGCTTTGAGGCATTATATTCACCTCTTTCAAGAAAACCAAAAAGTAGTGATTACAATTTAGGACCCCAAACAGGTGAATAAAGGAATAAATTAAGGTACATCTCCCCATAAAGCCACCAAGTCCAGTTTTCTACATCAGATGATTGAATATATTATTTAGCTAGAAACATGCCAATCAGAATGCACTCTGAAATGAAAGGTTGCCTCTCAGGGGATCCAGAAAACAGAAGGAAGAAAGGAAGAAAGAAAGAAGATGCTTCCACCTGATCATAGAGGAGTAGGCAAACACAAACCTGGTTTGGCGGCTGTCAATAATCTGGTTCTTTTAAGTCTGCCACTCTCACTTCCCTTGGAACTAAGAATAATCTGATTCCAAAGTTCCATTCAGAAGGCTATGCCATATCTTGTGTTAGATGCTTAGTTTGTGGTCCATTTTTTCTGGCTTTGGGTAGTGCTGATGTAAGTCTCTGAATGAGACAGGAAAAGAAAATGCAGAGCTATCCTGCTTGCTGTAAGGCAAATAGTTACACCCACTGTTCCTTTCCCCAGTTCTACCAAAGTCTTTTTGTTTTAAACTCACCCCTCTTTTATTGCTTTTTTACATACCATGGACTCATGTATATTTGGACCTTTCAGGTTTGAAGGAACCACAAAGTGTTATAATTTCTTAATACTCCAAAAAAGAAAAGAAAGCCCTCTTCCTCAAAGATGTTTTATATTAAGTATTTGTTACTGGATAATGTCAGGCTCTTTCTCAATGAAATGTCCTGCGTGGGCTGTCACACCTGCTAAATATAATCCTCTCTTTCTTTTGATATTCTGTAAAGGGCCTTTAAAGGATCACATCTTCCAATCTGGAGATTTAATTGCTTCATCTAGGTTTTTTAAAAGCCTTGTAAATTTCTGAATTTGGTCTCTTTCAAAGCTGAAAGGGAGGCTGGATGAGGGTGACAGGGTTGCAATTCAAAACAATAGACAATGTTCAGTGTTTAATATAACATCAACACTGTTATTCGTAATAAAAGCTCCTTTTTATCATATTGTATGTTCAGTTCTTTGGGCAGACACTCCTTGCGCTGATTTTATGACTTACCAGTGAGTTAAATATGAAAATAGTAGCCCATTTCGATATGGTAAATGTACACCAGGGAGGAAGTCACAGATCCTGTTTTATAGAAGGTAATGGAGTGAGATTACCCACACTAATATACTTAAATCTTCAGAGAACATAAATCTAGCATGAAGAGGGTCCAAAAAAATCTTTCTTAAACACAGAAAATTGCACAATATATTTGGGTAGTTATAGATTTTATAGTTACTTTGTATAGGTCGCTACTGAATACTAATATTTAGTCATAAGACTGACAAATGAAGAAATAAATATTTGCTTTTATGGTTCATAACAGACTAATTAATCCAATATTTGGTGCTCTTTATTCCCAAAGAATGGTGGCAAAGCCATAATACATTTTCATGCAAACTGGTACTCTGTCTAGAACTTTTGCAGCATGTCAGATATAGTTTTTCTGTACACACAGACGTTCTCAATAACAGATGGTGACCACAAACTGCTTCATAAAATTGCATAATGCATAATTCCTAACAACTTGCATAACACACAGAATAAGATGATATTGAACATACTCTACATCTGTCACTGTGCTCTACTGACAAAGTTTTCTACAAAAATGGATCAAGCTATATATGTACCTCTATCAGAATTATTAAAATATTTTCAGTTTTAACTTAGAGAGTCATTAGGACAATTACACTTGAGTAATTTGTTGTGATCTGCAAATATGTCTGAATTTTTCTTAAATGGAAATGTCCAGCAGTGTAATGACTACTCTAATGTGAAGATTGATCAGTATGTAAAAAGATTATGGAGGTTTCCGTTTACATTTGCAAACTGGTTTTCATTGTCATTCCACATTGTAGGCAGATGTATTAGCTGAAGTTTCAAAAAACAGACAACTGAAATATTTTGTTTGTCTAGTAAAAATCTTATTTGCACAGCTTACAGACTTTAGCTCAACCGCAATAGAACACGCTTCCATCCATAGACTACCTTAACAGAATTAACCACACATACTTCTTCAATGGGAGTTTAGGGCGTAAATGAAAATAGAGGTGAGCCCTGCTAAGTTAAAGAATACTGGCACCTCCATCATTGTTCCAATTTCCATTTTCTTTAATCTGGTGGGAGATAGTCCTACTGTTCATTGGATCAGAGTTCACATTTCCAAACACTGGTTTAGTGCCATTTAGAAGGGACCATCATGATCAACTCTGACCTCCTGTACACTGCAGGACACAGAATCTCACCCACCTCCTCCTCTAATAAGACACCTAACCTCTGCCTGAGTTACTGAAGCCCTCAAGTCATGGTTTAAATACTTCAGGTTATAAAGAGTCTAGTGTTTATAGTAGTTTAAACCTGCAAGACACCCATGTCCCATTCTGCAAAGAAAAGCAAACAAGATCCCAGAGCATCTGCCAATCTGACCTAGGGGAATTTCCTTCCTCACCCCAAATATGTTGAGCAATTGGACCCTGAGTATGTGGCAAGACTCACTAGCCAGACACCTGGGAAAGAATTCTCTGTAGTAACTCAGAGGCCTCCCCATTTCATCACTGGTCATTGGGGACATATGCTACTAGCAGTAACAGCTCAGCTGCTTGCATAGGCCAAAGAACATCACCTAATAATTTCAGAATCAAGTCCGAAACTGCTGCTTTAATTGTACGTCGATAGCTTCAAATGTTGTAAAATTGACAAGTATTTAAAACTAGCAACATGGGATTAAATGGGGATGTCAAGGCTCCAAGACTACTTCCAATTATGTGACCACCTTATTATATGGATTTGGGAAAATCACTTAACCTCTCTGTGCAGTTCACCATGCTGTAAAATCTGTATATTTACAGACTTTAAATAGATGATCTATCTCATGTACTACAATACATTAGATAGATCATTAGATGAAAAGGAGATCTATACAACTTAAAAGCTATTTATGAGGATGATGTGTATATTACAAATAAAATATGCATTAGACACTTTCCATCAGCATTCATCTATACACGAAACTCAAACTTTCATGAGAAAAATCACGTTTTCCACTATATACAGGACAAACAACTTCAGTGGTTACATTCCACATTCAAATCCAAAGGGTTAACATTTTCCCCATAAAGCCTAACATCTAACATCAAGCAATTTTGTGATAAAAAGGTGACACATCTATCAATATCACCTCTCATAGGTATGGATGGCATTCATTAGAAAAGGTTTCCTTGTGTAAAAATGACATTTAAAGCAAGACAGAGTATTTTCCTATATCCTTCTCTCTACATACAGCCAGATAACTATTTTAAATGTATTCAAAAAGATGAATATTGGAATGTTCATACATTCCCATAAGTCACAATTTGGACATTTTGACAATCTCTCTGATTCTCTTTGACAGAACCCTAAGAACACTGGGATTATGTTTTACAGAAGGACAACTTTTAATGGCAAGAGATGGATTCTTTGTGTGTTAAGAGTACTAATGACTACTAAAGAAAAGAAAAATAAACCTCATCTGGTTAACTTTGTAATAGACAACACTAATGTCAACCTGATAGGCAACCCTCATGTCCCATTAAAAAAAACCAATTTTCATGTAATTTTCCCCATTGTTCAAGCTGCTAGCTATGTTTAACTAATAGGAAATATTTTGTAAAGGCCTGATTCAATGTTCATTGAACCCACTAAAAAGACTCTGCTGTTCATCTTGGCCTCTGAGGATAGAACAGGAAGCAATGGGCTTAAACTGCAGCAAGGGAGGTTTAGGTTGGACATTAGGAAAAAGTTCCTAACTGTCAGGGTGGTCAAACACTGGAATAAATTGCCCAGGGAGGTTGTGGAATCCCCATCTGTGGAGATATTTAAGAGTAGGTTAGATAAATGTCTATCAGGGATGGTCTAGACAGTATTTGGTCCTGCCTTGAGGGCAGGGGACTGGACTCGATGACCTTTCGAGGTCCCTTCCAGTCCTAGTATTCTATAATTCTATGATTCAAGAGGCTTTGGATTAGGCCCCAGACTAGTGATGGAATAACCTCAGAAGATTCAGAAGTTTAGTTTGGAAAATAATCTGGAAGTTGGGATGCTTCCATGAACATTTTCTAAGTGATCTAAATCTCCTGAATCGGAAATCTGAGTTACAACTGTCAAGTAAATCTGTGTCTCTTAACCCTTCCAGCCTACTGTATCTCTTTCAGGAGTCTGATTTGTCTTGCATTCCCCATGGTTCACCTTACTTATAAATTACTTGCTTACAAAAATCAGTCATAAAAATACAAAAGTGTGACATCACAGTTACTGAAAAATTGCTTACTTTCTCA